ATTTTCAGCAGGATGTCAACTAGCTCTGAATGGCATGACCAAAAAGAAGCCTTGTATTCTCTAGTGGGTCATCAGTCGGCTTGTTTCTCCACCTTCCTTATCCATCAGGCATGGCGATGAGAATCCCACTTGGCCATGCCTTGCTGAGTAGGGAAGACAGGCAGAAGAAAACAGAGCTCATCTGAGATTCTGTGCTCACCTCCAGTTCATGTCACAACCTAGACCGCTGTGATAGATGAACATGTAGGAGATGGTGGGGGTCACATGGATGGGGACCACATGATGGGATTTTTGTTTTATTTAAAAAAACCTTCCACTAAGGGCACAGAGAAGGTGATATTTGTGAACCAGGAAGTCTCAGATACCAGAGGCCAGATCTGACTGGACCTAGGACTTGAAGCTCCCAGGACTGTGAACCAAGCAGTCCTCAAATCCAGCTCCATGCTGGCACATACCTGGTGTCCTCTGGTGCCTCGCTTTAGAAAAGCATCTCAAACCTCTTCCTAGTGTCTAATTATGCCAAGCATTTCCTGATTTGGCCTTTTTTCTTCCTCCTTATAGTTCATGGGCAGAAGACTCATGGGTTGCTTTGGGAACAGGTTCCGCAGCTGCTTGCTACCTTGCTGCAGGAGCCACTTGTTCAGTTAGCTTGAGCTATGAACATCCATAGTGTGCCCCCAAAACCCCCATCTGGTGACGTCTTAGATGGGGCAAATGTATCCTGTCACCTCTTCCGGTGTCTTCCTAGTGGAAGAAGACTTGCACACTTGCTTAGAGATCACATTTAGCTACGTGTTTCTGTTAATATGATAATTCTAATTCCATGGACAGACAGGATGCAGTGATTCTAATTCCACAACAGACAGGGCGTACTCAAAACAAAACAGAGCTATAGGAAGCCACGTGATATTGTGTGGTGGATGGCTAAGCTGTGTGAGCAAGCCAGACTGGGACCACATGTTCAAAGGACTCCGAGGAACTCTGGGGACTGGGCGCTGTACCCGAGGGGCACTGGATCTCAGAGTCTCTACTCTAAGACCATAGAGGTCTCAACTCATCCTGCTGCAGACGGCACATTCAGCTCCCCCTGATTCCAGCTCATGGACTATGTTCCAACCTGTCCATGGTTCGGTTGGGTCGTCCGCCCCTCTTTGCTCCTTCTGGCTTCCCAGAAGGGTTTTTCATTGTTACTAACTCAGCAACAGCGTCAGCGCATGCCTGACATTGGGCTCTGCTGGAAGGCAGAACGGCAGTTCTGTCTGCTGCCTGCTGCTCTCAGCTCAGAGTTGCCTATGCCCGGTCCTCCTCACTGCATCTGATAGACTTCACTGACTTCCTGATGATACAGGAATTGCTCTTAGAGGACGAAAATTAATCACAATTGTTTCTCTCTTCATTAAACTGTGCTTTGTTGCAGGGATACAGATAGGGATATTAAGAGTAAGATGAGCTAACTGGCTGCAGTGGAGAAAGGCTTTCATTTGCATCATGGGAAGTGTTTCCTCCTGAGAAACCTGTAAAACTCTGAGTCTATTTGGCAACCCTCCCTTTCATTTCCTCTCCTCCTTCTCCTCCTCCTCCTCTCTTCTCCTCCCCCAGCCTCTCTCTTCCTTGAGCCAGGGTCTTGTTTTTTCCAGGGTGGCCTTGAATTTGTACATAGTCAAAAATGACTTCCAACCCATGATCCTCCTATCTCTACCTCCCAACCTCTGGGATCACAGGCATGTGCCACCAAGCCCAACAACCGACAGTACTTTGTGTACTAAGTTTCTCTTTCTTTCAGTGTTAATATATTAATTTAAAACATACTTATTAAACACACGTGCAGGGGACCTCATGCTGCAGAATAACCCATCTAACCTACTCTGAGAAGCTCAGCCTCAAATGCAGAGGAAAGCATAAGAAATTTAAATATAGCCAATGTTCCCCAAAACAAAGCTAGGATGGAGGGTCACAACACAGCAGGAGCTAGCTGTGGGCTGGGGCTTTTCTTCCACCACTATCCTGTACTGTGTTTCCTCATAATCTCACTGTAAGTCACATAACTAGTCAGTTGAAGAGACCTCCGGGGAAAGTAAATACCTCACTTACGAAGGCCTTAGAAGTGGGAGAGGCACCTCAGTTGGCAAAGTGCTAAGCAAGCAAGAAGACCTGAATGGAGACACTCAGCAACCGCGTGGAGCCAGCATGAGCCACCTAGCACTGGACAGGGGGAGACAGGTAGATTCTCAGAGCCCACTGCCTGCCAGCCTAGCCGGATTAGTGAGCTCCAGTCCAGCTCTTAAAAAATAAAGCGGAGAGAAACTGAGAAAGATATCAAGCATTGACCTTTGGCCTTTACACACAGAACATACACATGTATGTACACCCACGTGCACACGTACACACACCTATGTAAACACACATACATGAACTGCACGAGAGAGAGAATGAATTGTGGCTGTGTGCTAATTCCAAGAATGCCTAGGGGTCTAACTTGTTTTGCTGTTTCATAAGCTCTAGCAGATGCTGCTAGGGAAATTATTTCTGAGCTGAGCGGGGCTATGTGAGCATCATCCCCGTGAGCTCTGGTCTGTACCTGCAGAAACCTCCAAAGCCCAGGAGGTGCCCCTGGCTCTTGCTTCGCTTCAGTTAAAGCCTCAGCCTTTTTCTGCCTATTCCCTGCTTGGGTCCCAAGAGAAGCCCTGGTAGTCTGAGATCTGTGAAACATCAGGATTGGGCTGCAAGTTTGTGCACTTGATTTTGTTGAGATGTATCCACACACCTCCCAAACATTTCTATGCGTGTATATTTCTCATTTTTTTTCTTAAAAAGAGCCTCACAGAATGTTTAAAATTTTAGCATTATTGATCCAGTATTCATTTTTATAACCTCTTTAAACCTTAGATCTTTCTCATTTTATACCCACTAGGATGGAAACCCATATAATCTAAAGGCCACAGGGAAGTTAGCATTCATTTCAAATTGCTACACACCAATTCAAATTCATCTCACACTGATACACCCACCCCTCTCTCAACAAGCCAACCTACAGTTGACTGACTGACGGTAAAAGGTAGGAAATTACACCTTTAACTGACACTGTACCTGCTGCTAAGGGGCATCTCAGATACCAGGCAAGCACATGCTGTTCCTTCAGCTTGTGCTCCAGGGAACAGCAGTGCCTTAAGCATATTTTGAGCCCAAATCCTCAGGGCTCTGTGACTCCCAGACTGGAGAAGTGAGAGTGACAGGACCCATGCAGGGAAGGGTGGCAGGTCCCTCCCAGCCGTGGGTGCCCCATCAACGCACAGACCTGGGGTAAGCAGAAATCCTGACTTGCATGCGTTGCGAATTGATCTCTACCTGACTGCCCCTACTCAGTCATTCCCTCTCGGACCACAGAACTTAGCTCATCGTGGAGCGGCAGGATGCAACCTCTCCAGACAATGCAGTGTGCCGACAGTCTCATCTCCCCAACTTCTTTTTTTTTAAAAAAAATATTTATTTATTATGTATACAATATTCTGTCTGTGTGTATGTCTGCAGGCCAGAAGAGGGCACCAGACCTCATTCCAGATGGTTGTGAGCCACCATGTGGTTGCTGGGAATTGAACTCAGGACCTTTGGAAGAGCAAGCAATGCTCTTAACCACTGAGCCATCTCTCCAGCCCAACTTCTAACTTCACAAGAGTCTGCAGCCTGTGGTGACCCAGAGCTTCACAGGTTGCCCCACCCCCACAGTTTCACACCTTTCTGCCAGCTCAAGGCTCCACACTTCCTTCCCAAACTCAAGGTTCCACAATCTGTCTCCCTCAGCTTATCACCTCAAACCTCCATAGTCTGCCTTCACCTCAGGACTCCACAACCCATCTGCCTACACTCAGAACCTAGAGCCTGCATGTCCCATCTCAGGAGCCCACAGCTTCCTACTTCCCTTCAGGGCTGTATATCCGAAAGTGTCCACAGACTACCCAGTAAGTATATATCCCACCAGCCTTGGCCAATTCTATCCATAAAAGTGCCAAGCAATTCTGCATAATTTCTCTTCTACTTAGAAAGCAATTCTGGGTTTCCCTATTACGGTCTTGACCCTTTTGCTCATAACACCACTGCTTCCTCTCTGTGATGGACTCCAGGAGTTTGGCTCAGTGCTCCGCTGTAGATCTCTGCATCTGCTTCCACAGTTACTGAATGAAGGCTCTATGATGACAATTAAGGCAGTGATCAATCTGATTATAGGGGAAGGGCAGACCACAAGCGGAAATCCACAGAAATAGCTGACCCGAGCAAGTGGGAGCTCACTGACTCCAGACTAACAGATGGGAAACCTGCATGAGACCGAAGTAGACCCTCTGAATGTGGGAGACAGTTGGGAGGCTTAAACAGTCTGTGGGACCACTGGCAGTGGGACCAGGATTTATCCCTAGTGCTTGAACTGGCGTCTGGGAGAATATTCTCTTTGAAGGGATACCTTGCTCAGCTTAGATATAGGGAAGGAAGGCTTTGGTCAGACTATGTTGACTCCCCATGGGAAGCCTTACCCTTTCTGAGGACTGGATGGTGATGGGGTATGGTGAAGTGTGGGGCAGGTGGAGGGGAGGAAGTGGGAACAGGGATAGCTATGTAAAATGAGAAAAGATTGTATTTAAAAATCTTAATAAAAAGAGAGAGAGAAAAGAAAGAAAGGGATAGGGGACTTTTTTCTTATATTGTTTCTATAGGCATTTCATCAGACAATGCAGTTTGCAAAACTTTTCTATTAGATTTTGGCTTCTAGAACATTTTAAAGTACCGACTCCTTGCTACTATTTACTAAACAATGTGTGGGTTTTGATAGAATTAAATACTTTGTGTCATCTGTCACCATTTCAGGACACAAACTCTCAGTGGAAAAATATTAGTCCTAGGTTTGCTAAGTTAACTTCCAGGTTTAGGATGAGTTTGTTTCCTTCTCATGCCTCTTTACCAGCTGACCCCTCTCTCTACTTGTCTCTGAGTACAGAATGTACAAGTTTTACCTTCGTCTCGATCTGTTTGGTGTCTGGATTTTGAAACAGCAGCTTTACTCGAGTTTTCCCATCGTCTGAAGATCCCTTAAGCTGAGAGAACTTGAATCTCCAGAGGACGTTCTGCAGAGAAATGATATGAATGAGTGATATATAAGCAATATTATATTCACTGAATGTCTCATAACGTAAAGCACATATCTGGGTAAATGCCATTTTTTATGACATGTCTGCCTTCTGTGCGTAGAGGCTGACCCCCATGCCCAGCCAGCTCAGGGTCGCATGCTAGCCTTTCTAGTTTGCACCCTGCTTTTACCCTCCTTGTCTTCCTGAACCTACCCTAGAAGTTTTTCAAGACCATTGCTTCCTTATTTGCCTGCAGAACTGTAAGTCCATGGAAGGCCAGTCTCTTACCAGTAGGATGCTGGCCACCGTTCAGTTCACATAGGAAGTTTGGATCCCGCCTGCATAACCCCACCATGGCTACATACTGTCATTTAGTCTCAGGTTCCCGAGAATCAACAGGACAGCGTGGGCAGTGCTGCCTTACACGACGGCTTCAAGCTCGCATAGCACTTGCTGACATGTTTCAGAGGTAAAATATCACCTCAGCTCTCAGGAGGTTGAGACAGGGGGATAACCACAAGTCTGGGGCGAGTCTGGTTCACATAGTGAGCTCCAAACCAGCCAGGGAGAACCTTCCTCACAAAACAGGAAAATAGAATCCTTATGTCCTAAGCATGGCAATGCCCTAAGCACCTCTGGATGACTGACACTTTTATAGCGAGTTGTCTTTAATAACCAAGAGTCATTTGTTTCAAATTTATCATGCTTTCTCTCATGAACTCTAAATGTAATTTTACTTTATTTTTTTAAAGAAAACTATTTCTGAAAACCATGAATGTCATTTCTGCCTGTGGTCTAAGTCAGCTACTTAATTTCCAGACTCTGAACCCCACTCAATAGGGGATTGAGCCTCAGTACACAGGTCAGGGTGGACAAGCTGGGAACTCAGAGCCCAGAATGGCTGCCGAGAGAGCATGGCAATGGCGGTGCTTGCTCGCTTTAGTTAAAGCACCAGGAGATGAATTTGAAAGGGCCTTGGGTTTCCGACTGGAGTAATAAATACTGAAGGATCTCAACACTTGGCTCTCCATCATGGAGCTGGAAGGCACCTTTGTGTGGTGTTAGTGACTAAAGCCCAGATCTCCAGCTACATGGAACACATATATTAGACATAAGAGCTTCTGCTTTGACTTCCTCATTCGCAGTTTTGCTGACAGCCACTTCTCATTCAAGAACACTTTGGGCTTTTAAGGCACTGCAGGTGAAACATGACACCAATACTCTCTTTGGAGTGCCTGGAGGCATCCACAGGCACCGTGACACTGGAATTCCGATGTCTTGTTTCTAGCAGAGTGACCTCCGTATCTTCCTGTCTACCATTCACTTCCTTCTTCTTTTGAATTTGGTCTCTCTGTGTCTCTATCTCCTCAAGTCTTAACTCAGCCTCCTAGAATTATGGGATTCCAGCCTGGGGATCAGACTGCATAAGCGCTATCACAGCGTTGAGCAAACTGGAGTATCGCCGCTGTGACGGAGGAGCATCCACGAGGCTCCATCACTCTGAAATTCTCCAGTTAGTAGTACCAGAAGTATTTGCCTCCTTTGATCTTGAGTAGCAGAAAATTCCACAGTGTGGCTTCTTTCAGAGAGGGATGAGAGCCCCGGTGTTGCTGGAAATCTGAGTGACCCAAACTCCAGATTCCTAGGCCCTGTACTGCTGCTATAATTTTACTAGAGACAAGGCTGGGTGTTCAAACTGTTCACAATAGCTGGTAAAGGCAGAAGATCTCCTTGTGGGTTTGGGTCTCCGGTTGCTCATTTTTCCACACAGCCTGTATCAGGAACTTGGAGTAAAAAGCAATAGTCTCTGCTTCACCTCTTCATTTCCAGCTCCTCTCCTACTTCAGCATACCACGACAGGACCAGAAAATCAGCTAGCATCAAGTCACAGAGCAGAAGAGAGCTGTAGTGGCTGCTCTAACACCAGCTAGCCCGGAGACACGTCATGTGAGCAGTGCTCTAACACCAGCTAGCCCGTAGATAGGTCATGTGACCAGTGCTCTAACACCAGCTAGCCCATAGATAGGTCATGTGACCAGTGTTCTAACACCAGGTTTAGGACAAAGGCCATATATCTAGAATGGTGTTCTAGTTTATTCTCACTTTGATGATTTTGAAATGTCCTAGAAATGAACAAATGTGCTAGATTGTGGTCTTCTCGCTTAGTGTCAGGGCAGGAATTATGTTTGGACATGTGTGTACTTGCGCATGTGTACATGCATGTGTGTACTTAAGCATGTGGAGGCTAGATGGTTAACCTGAGTTGCTTCTCAGGTGAAGTCCACCTTATTTTTAGAGACAGGCCTGTCATTTGCCTGGAACTCACCAAATAAGTAAGGCTGGTTGGACAAGAAGCCCCTGAGACTGACCTGTCTTTGCATCCTCTGGCTTCCTTATGCCGTTCTGGGACTGGATCTCATGCTTGCACTATATTGACTGAGCCATCTCCTAAGCTCCAGTGAGTCTAAGCCTTACACACCCAAATCTCAACATGTCCAGTCCATGAGTCTATTTGGTTTTCTCCAGTGACTTGGACAAAATGCTATTCATTAATATTTCACATTTGGTCCTTATTTAGATTTATAACCATTCAGTTTGCAGTAATAATTTAAAGCTCCTTACACGAAGCTTACATTGCTGCAGTTCTTTTGGGAATTAAGAATTGTAATTACAGTCAAGAAAAGTGTGCTCTGTGGACTCAGGACCTGGTCTACTTATTCCAGTTGTATTGGGGGAAATTTTCTCATATATAATTTATTGAAGAGGTGTCCATGAAAATGATGCGAAGAGAGGAAGGGAGTTCACCTTTAAAGAAGGCACAGTCAGGAGGTTGTGGCCCAAGCTCAGGTTTAGACAAGCAAAAAGAATCTTAGCTGGATCTTCAGGAAAACTCGTCAGCTATGGGATGAGGCAGTGATCAGGTGTGAGAAGCTGGATGAGGTAGTGACCAGGTGTGAGGCTCACAGGAGAAGTTGGATGAGGCAGTGACCAGGTGTGAGGCTCACAGAAGCTGGATGAGGTAGTGACCAGGTGTGAGGCTCACAGGAGAAGCTGGATGAGGCAGTGACCAGGTGTGAGGCTCACAGGAGAAGCTGGATGAGGCAGTGACCAGGTGTGAGGCTCACAGAAGCTGGATGAGGTAGTGATCAGGTGTGAGGCTCACAGGAGAAGCTGGATGAGGTAGTGACCAGGTGTGAGGCTCACAGGAGAAGTTGGATGAGGTAGTGACCAGGTGTGAGGCTCACAGAAGCTGGATGAGGTAGTGACCAGGTGTGAGGCTCACAGGAGAAGCTGGATGAGGCAGTGACCAGGTGTGAGGCTCACAGGAGAAGCTGGATGAGGCAGTGACCAGGTGTGAGGCTCACAGAAGCTGGATGAGGTAGTGACCAGGTGTGAGGCTCACAGGAGAAGCTGGATGAGGCAGTGACCAGGTGTGAGGCTCAGTAGTGGTGGGAGTTGTCTCCCTCAAGCAGAGAGCCTCTGAGAACTGAGTTTAGAGAAGGCCCTTTTGGGTCTCCATGGAAAACTATAGGCCATCACCCAGAACATTCTGGGTAAAGAGCAGCCCGTTTTGTCCAGCCTAAGTAGGTAATAAATGACTGACATAGATTCTAATGTTTAATGGCCAAAGTTCAATCTAATCTAATCAAAGGTCAACGTCCAGAAAACCTGAGGTTAGCCTTCATGCCTCCACATGCAAAAGTACACACAGTCACCAAGAGTCCAGGTCCCAAAAGCTCATAGTAGTCATGTACAACATTAAGAAACAAATGATAGTATTTAAAAATATTTTAAGAGTAAATTTGAGGAAAAGATGGTAGATTCAATGGCAAGAAATATCTTCAGAGCCACACTTGAAACCTGCATTGGAAATCAGGGACATTTTCTAGGGAAAAGGAGAGAAGGAAGCAGGCCAGGACTCAAACGTGTAGGAAAATAGCTGATGTATGACTTAGTTGATAACGTAACATCATCAATTATAGCTGTCCACAAGTTCTCAACATCCAAGAGATCCCAGCACCCACACTAGAGGGAAAGTTTGTCCACTGTGGGTTCAGCCCTCTCACAGGAACAGGGGGCCATGTAACCACGAGGCTAAACACACTGATGGCAGCCAATGTGGGGAGCTGAGAACATTCCACAGACCCTTACAGAAACAGGAAGGATGAACCAAGAGTACTAGCCCCTCCTTCCAGGTCGCCAGAAACCAGAGTTAACATCCAAGACCTTCCCCGGCAGTGTTGCCAAGTCCTGGCTTCACACTGGACAGGGGGTAAACATGGTACTAGCCTCTTGTAGTCACAAAAGGCCTCCTGCAGAATCTTGTGTGGACTGTGCTGACCCTTGGATTGACAAGAAGACGGGGTGAGTAGGAATAAACCAGAGACATAAGCACAAATGAACCTCAGTGGGATCTCCGGCAGGCAGCAGGACTGTGCGCTGTTTTGCTCTTCTTTGGTAAGGATTTTGGATACGATCTATTCCAAGATGTTGCCACGTGCAGCAGAGGAGACACCCGGAGACCCCTACAGACTCTATGGAGGTAGACCATGAACACCTGCCCTGAAGGCAGGAACCAGAAACTCTCAGATTTGTCGTCCTGAAGCACCAGAATGTGTGCATCAGAGAGGAAGCAGCAGAAACGACATGGAGTGTTCTCCTTCCTCCAGGATAGATGCTATAACACCTCACTCATCCCAGGACATGTGGGGCAAGAGTACTCAGGTCTGGTTTCTTGTTATTAGTAGCAAGTACAGGTCATGTGACTGTGTACATCCCATGGTCAACAGAAAGATACAATGAAGAGAACCTTGCCAAGGATCGGGAAGTCATTTGCTCACTGACTCTGGGCTAGAAACATAGTTGTCCTTTGATGATGGATGTAGACTTAAAATCCATTCCTGATATTCAATTTTTATGCAACTACATTTTGTTATTACTGCTATCGCTGTGTGAGTCCATACTGGGAAACATCATGATCATTTCCCTGGAGGGAAGAGAAGTGATAATGTTTGTATAAGGTTTTCAGGAGCCAGGATTGTGTAACAGAAGCAGCTTCCATCTCTGTCTCCGGATTTCTCCTCCTCTGCACACAGAGAGCGTGGACATGATAATTCTATATGGTTTTCTCTCCTATTCAAGGCAGGGGCTGAGCAGCACTCCGGGCCTCCATCATGGACTTTCCAGATGTGGCAAAAGGGCCCTTCCAGGTACTGGAAATAAAAAAAAAAAAACAAAAAAAACTCCAGACATCTCCGTGTGTCCCCTAGAGGGCGGACTTGTCCTAGCTGAAATCTTTGTTCTGGCAGAATGACAGCAAGGAGAAGACTTCTAGACAAAGTCACTGTCAGTAAGTTCTTATTTGGGTCACAGAAGAAAGTGGCCCAAGAGGCTTAGATATGGTAGTTGGGAAATAACTATGAGAAAGTGATTGTTGATTCTTGGGAGCCTTCCATGAGACTTCACATCGTCACGGTGAATCTGGAACAGGGACAAGTTGAAGCTGAGCCTGCATCATATATGTGGAAAGCAGGTTTCGGGAACTCTGGTTACGGTTAGTGATAGCACAGCAGACATTGTCATGTGTGGGGATGAGCCCAAGCATGAAGACCCTAAGACCAGACCAGAGTGGCATCCCTCCTGTCAGCTGGCCCATCACCAAACAGAAGCTTTGCACAGCAGGACACTCCCCAGCAGCCCAATTTTCTTAAGTATGGTTTGGCAGCCACCAATCTGAAGGGACTTGGCTAGCCTGAATGGACAATAAAGACTTCTCTTCTGCTTTGTTCTGCAAAAGAAGCCGCAGGAAGCTGCTCCGGAGGAGCCCCAAGGTCCCATTGCTTGAGGCCCCTTGATCCTGCTCAATCTTCTCACAGACATCACTCTTCTGCCTTGTGAGTCTGCACACAGCCGGCTGCCAACCTTTGCTCCTGCTGAGGAAAGCCAGGGAAATCTCTAAACCAAATCTACAGGCATCCCCTGTTCACAGGGACATTCATCTAGGTATGCTTTCTTAGGCGTCACTCATTCTTAATTAGTGAAGCAGATTTTTATAAATATTACCCGATGAATCATTGGCTCTTCACTCCGGCAAACATTTTCTTATCGCTGACGTAATTGGGAGAGCCCTAAGATGAGGACGGTAATAACCCAGTGAGTTCCACTGCTCACACAGGTAGCTTTAATCAATAAGTCTGGACTCGAGGGCAGCTTCTGCATTTGGGAATACATTCTACCAACATGTGGAGCTTACTCTCAGCAAAGTACTCAGGTTCTAAGGAATGGTTGGGATTCTTTTTACTGTGTTTTAGTGTTGCTTTTTCCTTCAGAGGGACCAAGAAACCCCATCCTGTGTTTTCCTTTCTTTCTTTCACCTCACGTGTGTGTGTGCGCGTGCATGCGCGTGCGCGCGCGCGCGTGTGTGTGTGTGTGTGTGTGTGTGTGACAGAGAGAGAGAGAGAGAGGGAGAGAGAGAGAGAGAGAGAGAGAGAGAGAGAGAGAGAATCTTATATCATATTTGCCAAATACTATTTTGTTGGAGTTTTCTACCTGGGCTCTAGAGATTGTGAACACCCAGGGACCTCAAACTAGCCAGAAGGAAGGCAGGTTATATAGGCAGACCTCTGACTCTGTGCACAGCTGGTGGGAGCCGTCTGCTCTCAGATTTCTCTGAGCAAGTGCAACGTGACATGTATAGTACCTGTAGGGGTTCTCTGCATCTTACCTTTGTTTTGCTGTCAAAGCAGGTGAATCCCAGGGCAAAATCCACTGTGAAGCACAGAGTCTCCCCTTGCCAGCTGCACAGATACGTTTTTGACTGGAAAAGAACATTAATTTTGAGTAAGTGCTCTACATTAGTTCTGTTTAACTACAGGAAGGTAGTTGGCAGATTAGCTACTTTAGCCAAAGTACACTGTTTTAAGGCTGAACACACACATTATGTAGGATAAATGAGAAGGTTTGGGAGTTGCAGGGAACACTTTCTTGCTTTTCTGTTTTCAGACAGACAAAGATGTCTTTGAAGGCATCAATTAAACAAAATCGAATCATTAAAACATTTCAACAGACATCTGTTCTCCAAGGACTTGGTTTTCTGGCTCTCTGACATGTGTGCACACACACTCACATGTCCAACACAGGGAAGTCAGGAGGAGCTTATCACTCTACACAGGGTGCCCTGGACATCCTCTGCACTGATACTGGTTCTGCCATTTATCTCTTGTTATCTTAGATTCTTTTCTTAGAACTAGACAAATGCCTTGAACATCACTGAAGTGTGTGGAAGATCTCTGAGGAGACTGTCACCACGTCTTGGCTCTATTTTCTCCTTTATTTTTCCTAGGAAAACAGAGAGCAGGCCCAGGAAGTGAGGACCCTGTCCAACACGACTTGACAACTCTTCCTTTTGCTCAACCCTTGGTCAGCTTCCTAACATTGTCAGGAGTCCAGAACTGTTCACCAAAACCGTGCACAAAGCAGATGCCCACTGCATGCTATACATGCTTTATACTGCTTTATGCTGGTGGGAATTGCTAGTTCCATCCCTGCCCCCAGGAGCTGTTCCCCTTGCTTGCTTTTTCTAACTTGACCCAGACCATAAGAGGTGCTCACATTCCTTTTACAAGTCCATGATAATGGGTGCTCTCATTGTGTGGGAATTACTAATTTCTGGAATTTAAATGTAGTGATGATAAACTATGAGCAACAATTTCTAGGAGATTATTGTATTCTTGGAGCCTCGGTCTCTGACATCATGAAAGCGGCAGAACTGTGAACCCCGGTGGGGAGTGTCTGGTCTTTGGTGTGCAGGAGAGCACTGCTGCAGTGTGTTAGATACTCATGTGCTCAGAGACACAGCTGGGACAGGAGACAGGAGTAGAAAGTTTGGGCAGAGGCTGAACCCTGCAAAATCTTGCAGCAGAGTCTTCCCATTCAAATCTTCAGACTCTGGCATGTGCTGTGTGTGTGTGTGTGTGTGTGTGTGTGTGTGTGTGTGTGTGCGCGCGCGCGCGCAAGCCCGCGTTTATGCATGTGTGCATGTGTGTGTGTATGCGTGTGTGCGTGTGTGTGTGAACTATCAGTACCCCCGTTGCACTGGATGTTTGCTCCTTATTTTCCTTAATATGTTGGTGGGAAAAACCCTCAAGTTGATGCCTGTTTCCCAATTCTCTGAGAAGAGACTGCCTCATGGTCCATTCAGTGGGACAAGGGTATCATAGGACTTGTCACATACATGACCACATTAGAAGCACCCACCCTCATGGACTGCTTACATTTCAAAACAAAATCAACCATTTAAACATTTCAGTGCAAATGACAGGGGAACTTATTATGGCACATTCTTGAAATTGCTGAAGATATGGAGGCTATAAGAATGACTTTCTTAATCACTTCTAGATCTACTGGTGAAAGCATAGATAAAAGTTACACACAGAACACCAGTTGCTAGGCGGAGGAGTAAGATGTGTCTTTTCTTGAGAGACTCTATCTGAAGCATGTCATACAATGACCCACAAAACAATGCTTAGTGGTTGACCGTGGCATTAGACACCTAACAACGCTCTGTGAATAAATCACTATGCTCAGGAAAGAAGTACTAAATGCCTCCTACAACAACTGCCCAGCATTTAGAACAAATTTTCAGAGCATTTTAGAAAATATTATATGGAAATGTCAGAGAGGGCTTAATAATAGCTCAGAATACATGGCTGTGAAGGTCAGCTTCAGAACAAAAGCTAAGGCGGTCAAAAAAAGAGCAACCAATGTTTAAGAAAAATATCAAAAACCTCAAGCACAGAATCACCTGGGGAGTTAAAAAAAAAACCCCAACAACCTAAGACAAAACCAAACGAGAATACTAGTGATCATAAAACGCCTCTCAACTTTGTTCGGGATAAAGAGCCTTGTTGCCTAGAGATGGTGCAGAGTTAACCACAGAGCAGTTGCTCCAGTCCATGGAGGAAATTATGTTAAAACAATGAATAGTCAGTAGGGTTTAGTGCTGCAATGCCAGATTTCAGGAGGCTGAGGCAGAAAGGTTAACCTGGCCTACATAGCCAGACCCTGTGATAATAAGAATGATGATGGTGGTGATGATGATGATTATGGTGATGAAGACATCAATACAAGCAACTTGAAGAGGTCCTGGACTCCAATAATGAAAAGCAAGGAACAGTTCTGATCACATCCACCTTGGAGCATTCGTGTTCATAAGGAATATGACATACAGTGTCCTTGTGCCTTCCACTTCCTCGTGTGTGCAAGTGTGCTCACGCATGTGTGTATGTCTATCTGTCTCCCTATCCCTCTTTCCTTCCTTCTCCCCTTGATTATGGGAAAGCGTTTTCATTTTTTTTTTCTAAATATTTGGTAGAAATCTCAGGTGGAAGCCTCTGCACCAAATATCCCTTTCTTGCGGGAGACGATCTGCCTCACCTTGATGGAGTTCCCCTTGATTTCTGCCATCTACTCAATGAATGCAGAGTCTCTGTCTTTCCTCATGCTGGCTATTTACGTCCTTTCCTCTTTCTCTCTTGTGAGTCTTTTTGCAGGCTTGTCAAAGCTATTTACAAAGAGTCAGCTTTGTGATTTGCCTTAATGCTTCTTTGACACATGGATGGCTTAGAAATTGCCGCCTTCAAGTATTTAAGTATGTTCCTGTTATCTTTCAGTTGTTGATGACTGTTTCCAGTTTGGCTGGAGAACATCTTTGGAATGGCTTCAGTTCTTATCAGTGTATGGTGGTTGTTTCATAGTCTTGGTATGGTTTACTTTGGCATATGCCCCACAGGCCTTGAAGATAATCTCCAGGAAGCTACTGTTCAGTGGAGCGCTCCATAAACGCTTCTCACGCATTGCTGTTAGTTCGTTTCCCTTGGCTCGGTCAGCTTTTACCATGCATATCTTGCAGTTCTATGTCTGGTGAACACATGCATTTGGCCAAGTCTCCTTGGTCAGGGAGTTGGCTGCTCATTCTCCCACAATCCCTCCTGTTGTAGCTTTCTCTTTTTTGAAGTCTACTAGATTTAACAACAACTACCCTCGCTTTTCTTTGACCTGAGCCATATGGTGCAGCCTCTTCTGTCTTTTCTCTTCACACTCCGTGGTGATATTTGAGGTAGCCTTTCAGTAGACACTGTATGGTACTTGCTCTCTGGGTAACTCATTTATCAGTGGTATATTCACACAGCTTCCAATGGGTGGGATTTATGATGTCATTACCTTCTATTTCCTTTTTGTCTGCTTAATGTCATATTACTTGGGGGATGTTAGCATTTTGTGTTTGTCTGAAGGGTTTTGTGTTTTGTTGTGGCTGTGCTCACCCTAGAGAAGAACAGAAGCCTCCCCTGTTTCCCCACGGTTTTTCTCCTCATTATTGCTCCCTTGGTTTAAGCATTTTCTCTATGTACATTTGGATTCATATTGGGCAATGGTATAGTTTTTGCTTCAACCATGAAATATGACAATCTCCTATCCCCTCTCTTCCCCTTTTCCAGAAACTTCTGGGTTCCTGCTTCTGTCATTTACTTTTTGTTTAGATAAAAGTCTCCATCTATTCCTTCTAGGTATGTCTGCCAAAGACAATTTATCTTAATCCCTCTTAATTAGGAAATGGTTTGAAAGACATTTTTCATTTCTGAAAGGTATTTTCAATGGCCGTGGATTCTGTAAGCTAATGCCTTCCTTCTGGTACTTAAATATTGGAAGCCTTCCTTCTGCCATCACTGTTCATGAGAGATCTCATCTAATCTGAATTATTTTGCTCTGTAATCTTCTATTCTTCCTCTCTGACTGATTTCAAGATTTCTTTTTATTAGGTTTTCTGAGCCGTGAGAACCATGACAAGTCTTGGGATGGCTTCCTGGGACATTTGTTTGTGGTTTATTCATTTCTCAGATGCACATGCTTTGAGCTTTGAAAGTTTGAGCCATAATTTCTTTGGGTATATTTGTCTTCCCTCCTTTCTCCTCTTGGGACCCCAGTTCTGGACACTACACTTCAATCTGTGGTTTGAGTCTGCTGTCCCTCCAATCTGTGTTCTCTCCATTACTCACGGAGACAATTTTTGTTGTCACGGATTTGACCACAGCTCCTTCCTCTGCCCTTATCTTACCTCCATGGCTGAGCTTTTAATTTGGTCACAATAGTTTTCACATCTACTTTTTCATTTTCTTTATTTTTATCCTGTTATGTTAGATCTCTTTGTCTGTACTTACGATATTTCCATTTGTTAGAATATATTCATACTTGCCTTTTGAATCAAGTATTTTAAAACTGCAGCTGCCCTTAAATCATTCCCAAATAAGTTTAACATTTCTGAGTTTCAATGTTGGCACCTGAGGACTGTCTGGCAGTCTCTAAGATTTTCCTGGTTTTTGGCATGACAGGTGGTTTTCTTTCGCAATCTGGGGAGTTTTGTATTATGAGATTTCTGATCTTAGGCAAACATTCCATTTTAAACAATTTTCTTGACATTGTTTCAGTAGGGGAGGGTATGTCAAATATGCTAGATACCCAGTTTCCCCTCTTGGCTTGCCTTGTTTCCCCTGGATGAAGGAAGATATCCTGGCCATGTACTTGGCTGCCATGAACCCACTGGGGAGGGATGTTTGGACTTGGCTGACAAAGGTAGAAATTCTGACTCAAAGGAGAAAGACAAAGTCAGTGTCTCACTTAGCCATAATCAGAGAAGCTTCCTCCTTTAGTAGATGTGATCTGCTAATATAGAGGCCCATAGCTGGACGATATGCAGAAAGCAGGAGACCTTGGAACGCTCAGCCCTAAGTGGGTTGTCTCCATCAATTCCCTCCCTTCAAG